GGATGGCAAACAGCCAGATTAGCCAAAAGCAACATGCATCTCCTGGGCAGATAAATATGTTGAAGTTAATGAAGGAGCATTTAGACTTCACTTTCCTACACTATGTTTAGGGGCATTGGGGAATAAAGCTATCTTAAAGTAAGTGCCTGAATAGCTGTCAAGTTATTGGAGTCCAGTTTGCATTGCTTTAATGAAAGAAGAGTCCACACTATTTGCAGAGGGTTAGAATCTGCCTTTTAACTTAATCTTGGTCTTAAACCTGGAAGTTCTTTATGATTTGGGGAAAGGGAATGTGTTCAACAGTATTCAATATGAAGTATGAACATGAATAAAAATGGAACAGTAATTATTTTTGTCTCCAGTTCTATCCTAATCTGTTATGCTTATTAAAAGGAATACACTGTCTCTACAAAGGGACCAGGCCCATTGGTTTATATTCCTTTTGAAAGCACTATATACAGGTAACTTGAGACTATTTTAAAATTAAATACAAATTATCACATTGCACACCTCTATAATGACGACACATCCCAATGATTGATAAATAATTACAAAAGATTTTTAGCTGCCCTTTATTTGCAGATTAGAGCACTGAGCACTTTTAGGCCCATAACATTCTATTAAATATAACAGTCGATGTTACACTTTGACACAAACAAATGAGTGCCAGAAAATTCAGAAACTCAATATTATATGTTGCAACAGAGCCCACAGCAATGTTCTCTAGTCGGACCTTCTGGGTATACAAATATTTAATTATATCAGTTATTATTTATAGTTTTGTTTTTCACTTTGGCAACCTTTTTTCTGATACGTTATGAGAATGATGCAAGATGCTAAGGACAGAAATCCATCACACGTTCATAAGGGCTCAATTTAGTAAAAATCTGGCTTCATAGCTTGGCAACTTTTTTAGTGTTTAATCAAGATTTTTTTAATGCTTGTTGCTTAATCAAGACACATTTCTTTAAAAAGCCTTTTAACATTGCAAGCTCTGGCTTTTTGGATCTGTCTCTTGCCAACAAACATGTAAGCTATCTAATCGGTAGTGGTGAAATCCAGAGGAATCCATTGAACCTTGTCAAAGAGACATCTGGGTTACTCTGAAAAGAAGCAGAGAATGGATCTGAAAAGCTGAGTGGTAGCAATTGTGGCTGCCAAATGTCCAAAAATAGCTAAATGGAGATTATTACTCTGTAGAAATAAGCAGAATTTGACCCAAAGTTGAAGAAAATGTGCCTTCGGCCATAAAGAGACATACCTGCCTAACAGAGTTCAAATTTATTTTTTAAATAAGGGCTGTAGATTAACCCAACTTCTTACTAACCATAGTGAGAAGAAAGCAATCTCAATTTTGAGAAACACGTTTAAGCTCTCCATACTCTGAGTTCTGTACTCTTTATAATTTCTCTGCAGCAGGGACTCAAGAAATCATAGAATCATAGAATACTAGAACTGGAAGGGACCTTGAGAGGTCATCAAGTCTAGTCTCCTGCCCTCCTGGAAGGACCAAGCACCATCTAGATAATCTCTGATATCTATCCAACCTGCTCTTAAATATCGCCAGTGATGGAGACTCCACAACCTCCTTAGGCAATTTAGTCCAGTGTTTAACCACCCTGACAGGAAGTTTTTCCTAATATCCAACCTAAACCTCCCTTGCTTCAATCTAAGCCCATTATTTCTTGTCCTATCATCAGAGGACAAGAAAAACAAATTTTCTCCCTCCTCCTTGTAACGCCCTTTTAGATACTTGAAAACTGCTGTCATGTGCGCTCTCAGTCTTCTATTTTCTAAACTAAACAGGCCAAGTTCTTTCAGTCTTCCTTCATAAGTAATGTTTTCTAGACCTTTAATTATTTTTGTTGCTCTTCTCTGGACCTTCTCCAATTTCTCCACATCTTTCTTGAAATGTGGTGCCCAGAACTGGACACAATAATCTAATTGAGGCCTAATCTGCACAGAACAGAGTGGAAGAATGACTAGGGTTGCCAGGACAGTCCAGTATTTGTGGCCCCTGTCCTGTTAAAAAAAAAAAACAGGAAATTTTACATGTCCAGTATTTTCTGTTTTTCTCGGACAGAAAGCTGGCAGGGACATTTTTTCCCCTGACGCATCTGGCGGGAGCGGGAGAAGCAGGGAGAGCAGGCATTTAAAGGCACAGTGACTTTTTCCGCCCCCAACCAATTTTTTCCCCCACCATGTTCAGAATTTTTTGTGAAAGTATCTGGCAACCGTAAAAATGACTTCTCGTATCTTGCTAACAACACTCCTGTGACATCCCAGTCATGTTTGTTTGTTTGTTGCAACAGCGTCACAGTATTGACTCATATTTAGCTTGTGGTTCACTATGCACTCTGCAGAACCCTTCCTAGGCAGTCACTTCCCATTCTGTATGTGTGAATTCAATACCAAACTATTCCAGGAACTTGTTGGGCGTATTTTATCTTTATTCTGGTTGCTGATGCCAGCTCACCCATTC